TGAAACTTGGATAGAACGCTGAAATTCTAGCCTTAGAAGAGAGTGACTTATCTCATTTGATCAAAATAAAGGTTTCACCAGAGATATAGTATTTAAACATCCCTTTCATTTGTCTTTAAATGTGATTGTATCTTAACGCATTTACACTCTGGCTTAGCAAAGAGTTCTTCCTTCCCAAACGCTAATCTCCAAATTCATTAAACTCGCAAGTGTTTAATATTTTGTTCTGTCAAATGTAATCTTAGTTTTCCAGAGATCCATTCTCTTCTGGGTGCTTCCTTCTTTTCACACAGACATTGATCAGTTAGCACCATGTTTAAACATATCACTAAAATTATTAACAAAAAAGAAACAAAGAGAAGCTTCAGTCTGCTCTAATCTTTATGTCTCTTCTACCCTTCTTCTTCTAAACTGCTGGAGATTTATCAATGTTCAACATATTGACATAATTTTCATCTTTACCATATTGCTGATATTGTTTTGCAAATGATATGAAAATACTTTCTAAATACAAAACACAACATGCAATTTTAAGAATTGGAAAATTGGAATTGTCCACATTAATTTTGATCATTGGCTATCATACAATCATAGATTTTCAAGAGCAATTAAAATCTTTACAGTCTAAGAGAGAATATACATCTAAAAATTCAGATAATTATAAAATATAAGGGTACTTACAAAATTTCATGGAAGTTGGATTAAAACATAATCATATTTTGGAATATATGAATAGTATTTAATAATATGCCTTGCACGTATTTTTGAAGTGTTAAATAAAATGATTGATAAGTGGAGGAATTGGATATAAATTATTATTTGTTACACATATCTATTCTCTTTTTCATAGAAACCCGTTTTATTATATTAGCTGAAATAATGTACCCAAATACAATATAGGTAATTTTCAGCATTACTTACAGTTAGATATAGCTGTATGACTAAGTACTGAACAATGAAGTACAAGGATGAAAAACAACAGTGGGAAGGAACTTTTTAGCAGACCTTTTAACAAGATGGAAGGGATGTTTGCTTTTCAGTCTTTTCATTCTTTCTGTATGGATTATAAAAGCTATACCCAAAGCTACAGTAGACATGGTTTTATCCTTGATAATGAAAGACGGAAGCCAAGAATAATGAGGCAGAATAACAACGGTTTCTGCTTCCCTGATGACTTTCTTAAGCTGTTGTTAACAGTTGTGGATTGCCGATTCTCAGCTCCCTTTATAGAGACAGTAAATTCCCAATTTGTTTAAACTATCTTAACCAAGTCTCTATGTCTGATGAAAACACATGATAATTACTTGGTGGGGAAAAAAAATCTTTCTGAATTTACATACCAGGTCTTTTTAAAAATCATATCCAATATACTTGCACTGAATGATCCCTCACCCTATTTCTTTCATACCTGTTCCTAATTCCAACAACATACACACAACTTCTCTAGGGCCTTTCTCTTTGGACATTCCATAGTCAACTAAATTCAACAAACTTAACAGGTGAACTTCCTTACTCTACAGTTTACCTTCTTTCTAAATGCTATATCTCTTGTGATAAATGATGCCACTGTTAACTATCAAACTGCCAAACCTTCAAGTAATTCTCTTTCCTGATTTACACATAGTGACCCTAAACACTTTCAGCTCAGATTTTTTTCTTGAATAGGTAACACTCCTCTTTCTTGTCAATGTAACCTGCCTCCAACTTGTCACTGTTTCTCACTGGATCTGTTCAGAAACCAAAGTCAACCGCAAGAAAGACTCTCTCCCCCAGTTCCTCATCTTTCTAATCTATCACCACTGTGTCAGAAGCAATTAACTGTTCAAAACATAAGTCGATATATGCTCATCTCCATTTTACATTTTTAAGTTACTGTCAATTATGAATAGGGCCAAAGTAAAATTTTATAAATGATTATTTTTGGGTATTCACCAGATTCTGTTCTATCTAACTTATTATACTACACATGCCATGGGACCCAAGAGGTCCAGCCACATCAGATCACTTGTTCTTTGCATAATATTTCCTAGCTTACCCATTTCTCTTTGCTTCAGTTGTCGTATCTTTCTTCCATTATTTTTGTCTCAACTGCCTCAAACCAGGCAATTAATTAATCAGGACATATTTATTAAGATCATGCCTTTGTAATACTTTTTCTTGCCAATTCTGCAATTATTTGCTTACCTGTTAAACGATGCACACTTGTACATACTGTTTCTATGGAGTTTATTACATTGTCACCAAATCATTTGTAGATTCAGATATATTTTAGGCTTCTTAATTTGAGCCTCTAACAGGAAGCATCATATGGTTACCTTTTCATCTCCTGGATATTCTTCCTTGAATATCACAGACAGGATGCTGAATTCATAGTAGTAGATTGTAACTAACCACACTTGAGCTTCATCATACCAAAGCATTCATCCTCAGGATACATGTTAGCAGTGTAAACTTAAGATTAATCAAAAAGATTTTAATTAAATGGCATATTAAAGAATGCTACTAAATTCCTTACCTTACTAATAAAACTTTAATCTGAAATACTAAAATCCCAGTTCAAGAATATAATGTTCCCATTTATTCAAGAAAAGCATTTGATTAACTCAAGTTACTAATCAGTTATATTTATCAAAAACAATGTTTCATGCAAATGATTTGGTGAGGCTGGAAAATGCTACAATTTTAAAAATCAAAATTCTGTAATTGGTAGTGTTCCTCTGCTTTAGAATCATGCTTGTTACTTTTCAAGATACATCACAGAAAAATAACAAATATTAAATCTCCTTGTCTATTTAAAGAAGAAAGAAAAAAATAAGGATTCATGTCTAATGAAAGATTAAATCATCATGTTTGGGAATACATAAATGAAATATATTTTTAATGCTTACTAGGATATGCCTGCAAGCCAAAGGCAGCAAAACATATAAAAGGGACCACACTCTTTTGTTTATTAGTGTTTTTTTTCTACTAATGGGAAATTGTGGCAAAATGATGACACATAATTTTACATAATTTTGGATTTGCAGTGCCATTCCTCATTTTGTATACTCAGCTTTTAAATTCTAAATCAAGGATTTTGAATGGCTCCTGGCTAATCTATGTATAAAATACATATAGTTGATAATTTTGAAGCAGTACTTTGAACAGGAAGAAATATAAATTCATTTATACATCTGGTGGAAATTATATTTTGAAAGGATATAATTTAGCAGAGATGTCAAGGCTGGACATCTACAAATTTTTTTCAAAACTCAGCTTCAGACAGTTTAAAAAAGCATTCTACAGGTTACTTATATTAAATGTGCTTTAATTTCTCATAATTTGACATGGTAATGGATTTATTGGTAAATGACTCCATTGTAAACAGAAGAGCGCTTGCATATGTCCATCATGCATGCTTTGTATACACATACGAATGGATATGAAACTGTATGTGTGCATATGTGTACCTGAAGACTTATTTCGGTTTGTATGGGATACATAAATATTCTTAAAGTCTATTTTCCTTTGAAAAGCAGTAGGCACTAGAATTGCACAGGCTGTGATGACATATTTGTTTTTCTAAAATGTGAATATCAAGGAAACTAGTTTCCCTCTATCAAGTACTGGTATAGACAATTAGATATCTATTGATACCTATTTACATATTTATATAATATATGTAATATAATATAAATAATAATTTCTAAGTTACTTACTTTTGACTTCTGCTCTTTCATACTTTATATATTCAAGATTGTCCACCCAATCTGGGAAAACTCAGGATTCTCATTTACTAATATGATATCAAGGTAGTTATTTAAATCTGATTTTCATATACACTAAAATAAGATAACCAAATAAGTGATCTAACTGGAATATTATCTGTAGGAATTAAGAGATAGGCAAGATACAAATAAGATTATATTCCTTTCTTTTACATTTGATGATGATCTTTTGCTTGTGTTTTTACAGCTACATTCTCTTTCAAACATTAACTCATTGAAGCAAAGTCCAACACTAGGATATGGAGATTCGAGATGTTGTTAATTTATAAGTACATAGTGTGATTGTACACATTTGATTTAAATTTCTAGAATGTTCACTTTATCTGCAATCTAAATTCTTTGTTTGTCTTTCTGTGTTAACTAAATCCAATATTAAATACAATTTTACTATACTTATATTATTATATTTATATTACTTAGATAAGTCATATACTCTTATTAAAAGATGTATAGACATGGTAGACATTATTTCTACCATGGTAATTTTATAGCAGCTTGAAAATGCTTCAAATTAACTTTCATTTCTCATCCAAGCAGTTTATAGAACCTGATTTATTCTTCAATCTCTTTAAGTAAATAAGAATAATCTGAAACTCTCATGCATTTTTAAGCAAAATCTGCCAGTGTTCCTTGCTGGCTTAATTGCATGTACTTCTATATGTACTCTGTATTTGTCCCGGGTAGAATTTTTTTAAATGATTTGGTGGTGTCTTCCCTGAAAAATACATTTTGGTGGGGAAAGCTGCATATGGCAACCATTCTCTCTTATGTTTTCAACATAGCCCAACTTGTACTAAAATCAAGATGAGCTAGAACTAAGAAATCTGTTGCGTCATCAATGAAAGTTGGCTGAAAACATGGGATCCTACCATCAAATGTAGGATCTGCCTCTCACTCTCTCCTTTTTCTTTCAGCTACAACCAACAAACCTTAAATAGCAATTGTGTTCCCTGTCCTAACTTAACTTCCTTTACACACTGAGTCAAAATCAACAAAACAGACTTAAGTAAACTTTGTTAAAGACAGGCATTTTGTTAAATTTGGGATAAATCCTAAAACACACACACACACACACACACAATTGTAAGTTTACTACGGTACCAACTAGTATGGAATTGCATTTAATAATAAATGTCAAGATAAAAAGTACCTGTGGTGGTGTGAGAAAGGGTGTGGCCGCTCTGTTTCACGCACCTTTCACCCATGACAGTGTAAGCAATGGCAAGTACTCACGGCAGACATGATCAGCTCTCCCCCAAGGTTCTGGATCTCGGCTTTGACTTGACTGCATATTTTCAGCTGGTGGGAGTAGAACTTAATCTGTTCCAAGTAGGCCAATAAGTCTTGTTTGCAGGATGGATCTGGACACTGAATAGTCATCAAAGATAAGAATGAAAATGACAAAATAAATAACGGGCAGATCACTTTATGCTACAGGTAACTTAAAACTTAAGTTTCACTTTTCAGACTGAGTCCATGCAGATCCTGATATGCTTTCCCATTAAAATCATTTTTCTACCTTCATTAATGCTGCTAGGGAAAAAGAAATGCTAAAAGATATTTCAGATACGAAAAGGTACATAAAGTAACCCTTTTAATTTTTATGACAAAGATTGCAAGCCTTCAGACTTTAGGTAAGCTTAAATAAATATTTAAAATAGAATCACTCCTTTAATCCTGAATTACTATTAGAATGCTCCTTAGGATCCGTAGTTTTATTTTGTCTGCCTTATGCTATTTGTATGAACATAAAAATTCTGCAGCAAACATATTATGCTCCATTAGCTTCAGCACTGAATGTTTTGAACTGTTACAAAATTAAGAAGTAATTTTTGACTGTAGTTGTAGCTCTGTGTGCAGCCAAGAAGCAGACAGTATGCGTGTCTCAGGCATGTATTCATTCTCTTTGCCCACAACAGCCTCCTGTGCTACATGGCATCTTCCATTAGGAACTTCCAAAAAGACAATTTTGAGTTTCATCATAGCATAGCAAATATCTTTGGATAGGATTTTATCTTTATGCTCTTTCCCTTATGCAATAATAATAGATTTTTTTTTAATCTTCCCTAAATTAGTTCCAGTTGCAATGAATTTTCATAAGGACATGGAAATGTGCATGGTGATTTATGTGTAAAGATATTCATTGCTGTACTACTTATAATAGAAAAATTCAGAAATGACCTGAATGCCTGAGAGTTATTGAAAAATTTAAATATAAAATTATATCTACATAATGTGGCATTACATAGTCTCAGGAAAATAATGGTACCAAAGGATATGGGAAATATTTTTGGAGGAAAAAATAAAATCAGTCTTTAAAACCCCATATACTATTTCAATCAAGTTGTGTAACAGTATGTTTTAAAATACCAAGAAATGAATAAGAATCTTCAACAAACATGGTAGCTAATAGATTTTATTTTTCATATTTTTTATAAAGTAAATATATTACTTCTATTATTATTTCTATTACACTACAATGTTATAAAGTGCTCTTAATTCTAATGGCTTAAACTGTACTTTAAAAAAATAGAATAAACAATCATTAAAAAAGTTTATATACTTCTGCTTTTATCCAGCACAGGTACCTTGTGGAAGTGGTTTCAGGATCATCGTGGATATCAGACTCCAAGAATGTTCAAGTCCCTTATATAAAAACTGACATATAGCCATAATACCCTTACCACCCTATACTTTACATTATCTCTAGACTACATATAAAACCTTACCCGAGTAAATGCTATATGTAGGGGTTATACTGTGTGGCGGGGATGGAGGGGTGTTGAGGATGGATGTGTGGATAACGAAATGCTGAAGTCCGTGTGTGTTCAGTACAGAAGACAGAATCATCCCTCACTGCATTCTACCAGATCCCCAGCTGATGGAGTTCATGTGTGCAAAGCTCCAGAAACAGGGGGCCAACAACAGTTGATAACTAAGCTACACAATCCCTGAAAAACGTATTCCCATTGTTTTCCTATATACTTGCTAAGTGGAAAAGTCCCACAGATCCAGAGGGTATAGACAAACGAAGGCACGTGAATCTGAGTCACAGTTAAATCATCCACAAGTACAGCAAATAAATCAACTCTTCGGTTGCACACTGTCATCTCCTAGGGAGACGTGGACACGGGCATGGGTAAGTAGCACGTGACAGACGGGCAGAGAGGCAATCGGAGCCGAAGACACAGACTCCTTGGGATCGAGGGTGTCTCAAGTTTTTGATAAGAAAGTAAGGGCAATGCATCTCCAAATCCGCTCAAAAAGATTAAACTCTGAGAATTGATACCATTTGCACTATAGTAATTGTCAAGCATTTGCTGTGACCTTGAAAATCTAATATATTGGTAAATTCCTTGAGAAAGTTATAATAGGGGAAAAACAATGTGGGGGAGAGGTAAAGGACAATGAGAAGGAAGAAGAGAACAACAGAAACTATGTTCAGATTTCTGAGGACATAATAGATACGACTTTAAGCATGTAATCTCATTCCGTTTTGAAACCTGTAATGCAGGCACCATTTTGCACAATTTGCAGATGAGAATATTAGTTCCATTGATGAAAAGAAAAACACCTCACTCTGTGTTTCTTTTTTTTTTCTGGATTGGAAGATCATCTTTATTCAGTCCTCCCTCTGTTGCAGATTCTGTGCTAGCTCCTTTAAATGTCTCCTAAGTTAGTAGCAGAGCATCATTTTAATTATTTTTAATTATTACCTGTTTTTTACCTTTGCAAATTCAGTTGCAGAAATAGTAATTGAATTTGTATTCAATTTCTTTCACATAAAGGTACCTTAATCTCTCCTATGTAACTTTCATTTAAAATATTTTCTGTGCCGACCAATTTTCTATTTCTGGTTCATGTCAATATACTCAATGATAATCTTGACATTACAGAATATACGTGCTTCACACGTCAGGTGCTATTCTAATCTTACTGTTCCATGGCCTAGCTGTGGCCGTTGTTCCCATTTACCGAAGGGGAAAACTGAGGCACAGAAAGGGTTAATTGATCTGTTAGTAATGGGGGATAATTCTGCTGTTCAATAAGACCTGGTTTCCCTCCCTTACTTCTGTGGTGTAGAGACACTCTGCTTGCTCCTCCACTCCAATTTCTAAGTCGGTCACTTCAACTGATATTTTCTTATTTGTAAATTTTAAATTGGACTTGCATGATTTCTTTTTTCTTTTCTTTTCTTTTTGTTTTGCTTGAAGAATACTAGGTTACTCTTGCTATCAACCTTAAAAATTCTGAGCAATAATGAATGCTGCTGCTGACCAGATGTAAGGAAGAGATTTCATCCCTCCCAAGAGACACACAGAAGGTTGTGCCCGAAGAGTTTATAATTCTATTAAGGAAAGGATGAATCATGTGAGTGGCACGTTTGAGGCTGAACTTAGGAAATTAAAAATCGCTTGACTCAGCCGGACCCTTTGCAAAATTAATAGCAAGTTTGATTATACCTAATGGTGGCACTTGGTTTTATCTCTGAAGAAAAAAAAAACACACTGATGGGTAAATTTTTATGCTATAAGTATGTAGGAAAACCTCATTTCTGGCTGACATTTGTGAAGTCTTTCAGAGTTGCTTTTGGCAACCTAGAAGAAGAATCATGAAAATGAATCTTCTTTTAAGAAGGTTCTCATAGTATTTGCCAAACCTCCTTTGGTCTGTTTGAATTTCTTCATTGGAAATTCATTAGATTATTTGCCTATTTTAAATTGGGGAATTTGAAGATTCATGTTCTTATCAATTAGATGAGTACCTCATACATTGGATATTAACTCTTCATTATGTACAAAGTTAACAAATATTTTCACCTAACCTACAGGTTGCTTGGCTTTGCTAACCATTGCATTGCTTATCCGTAATATATATCATTGCAATTAAAAAAAAAACTGAAAAAAATTACAGGAAAAAAATCTAAAAAAATTCTACCATATATACTTTGCATATAAAATAACGGAAAAGCAAAGATTAGATTAGTGAGCTATTCTTGCCATTTTTCTCCTTCCAAATTATAACTATTATAGAAGAAATACGGCTTAGGGGATTTTAGGCATGGTAGAATTCCATAGCACATTTGGTTATTATTTTTCACTTTATTTATATAGGAGATGTTGGCCAAGACATTTACTTAGTTCTTTTAATTCAACAACTGTTTCTTTTCAATTTAAACTTTACAACCACAGAAGACACCCACTACAGGGAAACTGATAGCATGTCAGTCTAAGTGCTTTTCTTACATTAAGTCAGCTTTTACTCCCCTGGTCAGTCATGATACCAATAAACAATGCATCACTTAGTAATGAAAGGAAAGCATTCATGATGCTCCATTAAGAGTTTTCACAGTGCATTTTTCAAAGTGAACACTCTTAAAGACCATTATTGCACAATCTTTGTGAATTTTTGCAACCACACCCACACCCAGGCCCATTGCAGTATGAATCTCATTTAAGATACAGTTAAAGGAAACTTTGGGTAATCACACACAGACTGACATTCCTGTAAGCTTGCAAAGGCTGCTAAATGTTAAAGTTTGCTACTTAGGTGCCACTGTGACTTTTCAAACCTAGAGACTTTAAGTAATCCATTGATGCAAAATACTGGGTGTCCGTGACCTTCACCTTTCCACTGGCTTCAGTTCTCCTGAGATTCATGCCAGAAGCTGCCTCATCGCTCCACACTCAGGGTCACAGATCTTCAGTGAGTCCTTTACTGTACTTTAAATGACGTTCTTAGCCCCCAGTCTTTCAATACATGAGTAAAGTTTCCTGAAACCTCTGTGATCTTCTCTGTCTTTTCTTGTTCGTCACCATGTCTTCTAACCTTTCACGCCGATTCTTCAGATCAGCAGCATGCTGCAAGCTGGCTCCGCTGGCTTCACTGATCTTCCTTGCGGCTTTCCCATCGCCACATGCATTATGCATATGTCAGTCTTTCCTCTTTCACACCTCTCTGCAGCTTTTACTTCTTCCTTTTCCCTTTTTGAAATTTTACTACCTCTTAATAATGTTTTCTCCTTTTTCATTTTCATAAGTATTTCTTGGTTTGTTAACAAACGTCCCAGGCTCTTTCCAAGCATTGTTTTATCTGCCCATCCCTTCGTTGTTTTTCCCCTGAGCTTATTTCACTCTCATCCTGTTTCTTAGATAATAGAGGACACTATTTCGACTTCATCCATCACTTGCACAGTACAAATGACAACATTCTATCATCCATACTTATCTTGAGAAGACATTCGCCTACCCCATTTCTGTGTCTCATGAACATTTTGCTATCAACAAATGTAACTTTGAACTGTTTCTTCCTCTATCTTGTCTACTCAGAAAACTATGCTTCACTTTTTTTTTTAAAGATTTATTTTT